AAAAAACATTTAAACATGTAATGAGTGCACTGTATGGGGCCACTTAGGAGCAGCGGAAACAAGCTGTTAATAGTGACATATTCTCACATTATAAAGTTGATACTGTGAACAAAATGAGCATTTAGCATTAATCTGGAGCCATAGTTTTCTGATATTTACCATCCTTTTGGCTCACATTGACTGCTACTAGCATAACACACTGGAATCTCTAACCGAACTGTTGGCGCTCGAGTTGCATTGTGAATAATGTAGGCTCTGTGTTCTGACAAGGAAGAAGAATGTGTGGTTCTGATATATCAGTTCTGATACTTTGACATTTCTGCATAAAGGAGTGCAATAAATCGGTGTGGTACTCTTTTAAGCTACTAAATGCTCCACTATGTTCAACAGCTAGTCGCTAACATTGTCTGTCTGCCTGTAAGTGCTGGACTGGTGGCACACAGTTGGTTTATCAGCATTTCTATGGCTAAAAACAGCTGCCCGCTGCAGTCAAAAACATCACTATGAGACCAATGAGAGTGAATTTGTGGGCTGGAAAACACAACAAAGCTGAAAACAAGCTACAAAAATCAATGCAAAGTTGGGTGGTAGTTCTCTGTGGGTTCACCACTACTCGTGACCTCTTTCACAATACCCATCGCTGTTGTTATAAAAATACTTTTAAGATCAACCAATTCTGTGGTTTTCTGACCTTCACCTTCAACTGAAAACTGTAACTGTAATCTCCAGCGCTACTCTTTATGTGCATACATAAATCCTGCAGTAAGAAAAGCAGTTCCAGAACCCAGCTTCTGTCAAATTGAACCACCACAAAAATGAAGAGAAAGAAGGGAATCTTGTTGGGCGATCACCGTCACTTATCACTCCACAGATACAGTATTACATAACACTGCCATATGTCGGTGTTGATGTTTGACGCGTGGGCACGGCGTAGGGACAGCCACCTCCGCCGGTGGTGGATCCTGAGCCAGCTAACTGTAAAACCGTGGAGTAATAATGCCATCTGGAACAGCTGTCAGCCAAGGAATCTCGATCTGGCTTATTAGGGAGAGCAGAGGAGCAGGGGGGGATTCTCTCCAACTCACAGAGAGGTGAAACACACAGAGGGGGCGATGTGAAGCCTTGATATGACAGAGAAATGAAAAGGAAATCACTGCAGGCTGAAAAAGGGGTATGTTAATCTGCTTCCAGGCTCTAGTGAATTTCTTATTGTGAGGAAATATGAATTTCAGTCCCTTTTGGATTCATGAGCTTTAGATGTCCTCGGTCCCCACTGGGTTCATTGGATGTGTGAAATTTGTTGTTTCTTAATCTCCCCACTGGTTTATCCCAAAATTCAGAAACCACATACACTATGTAACCATCAGACAAAGATGTCTGTTGTTGTTGAGGGGTTTCTTAAAGCAACATTCTGCACATGACCAATTATGTCACTGATTTTGATGAAACTGGATCATATTTTATGACAAAAATGTTTTCTGGTTTTCCCTCCGATGTCTTTCCAGCCCCTCTGCCTCAATGATGGAGTTTCCTGATGGACAGATAGCTTTACTTATTTCTAAAGTAAGCGACCCAGTGCAGCCAGGACCTGGGAACTTGGAACATTAGGGGAGTGTTGGTGTCTACACTGTGAGTGCAGGAGCTTTGGACCGCCGGAAGGAGGAGGTTTTCAGGCCCGAGGCAAGTGGTAATGCTAGTGGGGGCTCAAACTGGACCTGGTCTAACGGGCAACGAAACCGCACTCAGCAGCCTCTACGAGAGAGAAGACTATCTTGACTTTATGCACGTCTAAAACTTTCCTTGTGGAATCAAAAATGACAGTACCCTCCTGCAAATTTAAATCCTTATTAAATATTTATCTTATTTAATATCTGTAATTTAACAGAAAAAAAATCACTCAATGTCCTTACTAGATTTTTCTAGAGCTTAAACCGCATCTTAACTTTGGCGGCCCTCCTCAGCAGAGACAGGTGCATATATATATTTGATGTATATATAAGCAACCATCTGTTGTCACATGACTGAATGTTCTATACTTAGGTCACATGATGACAACTGAACTCTCTCCATGTCTCCCACACAAACTTTGAGTTAAGAGAGTTCAAAGGATTTTCTCCAAGGTCTTTAATAAACTTTCACACTGAACATTTAGATTCAAGCTAATTTGAATCGCAACCGTACATTCAGAGGTCAATAAAATAAAAGTACAGTGGAGGAAATGAATCAAAGATGTGGGAAAATATGATCATTTTAGACTTGAAAGTGGTTTAAGTTGGGGTGCTTCATCAGGTGATCTTAGTTGTGTGAACCGTGTTTGCTTATGACTGGAGGCACAAAACCTGTTTCCCTGAGATCTAAGGGACCAACTGGGTTTATATTCTTCAAACATACCAGAAACATATTTTGGCCTTTGGCTGTAATGTGATTCCTAAACCAGCAGAAGCGCTTTGAAATCTATTCTATAACTAACTTGGAGCTAGTGTAATGTGCTCAGTTGTTCTTGTTACTGTAGCTCCTGCAGTCAAAATGTGTTGCAGTTGTCTTTTTTGAGAAGATCAAGAACAAGAGCTCATTGCACCCTGCCGGAGATGAAGGCATAAATCAGTTTCTCACGTGGCCAAGAGACCTCTGATTCTCCCTATTTTTAAATTATAAAAAGCTGATTTAGTCATTACTGTGGCAGTGCTGTGTGTTGTTGCGGCAGCTTGAGCTACAATTCGTACAGTCCATTTAAACAAAAAGACGTCGAACTTGGACTTGAGTCTTTAAAGCAAAGGTAAGGAAAAAAACGAGAACGTTGCAGACTGCAGTGCGACTGTGATCAAAGGTTTGACTCCCACTGCAGAAAGAAATAAAAGCTTTATAAGATCTCTGGGATACAATGTTCGTACAAGTGTTTTGAAGGTGTGCTGTAAAAGCATATCTACCTGAGGGTTCTTGGCATGAAATAATTAAAACACTCTTGTGAGTATCCAAACTTACCTGCCAAGAACTCCCAGAACTCAGATGATAGCAGTTTCCCCCCCTTTTAACAGCTGGCGATTGCAGCTTACAAAAAGAAGACGCTACAGTAGGCTACTTACAGTATGGGCCTCATACAAGTACATGTTAAATATTGTAATTCTGTAAATTACTTGCGGTATATGTTAAATTGAAGATCATAAAATGACTTTCCCAACAACTTTACTAGTTGCCTTTGCCAAAGATTTCCAGCATTATAGCTGCAGACGAGGGCTAGTTGCCCACACAGTGGATAACTGTGGAAAAGGGGGTTGAAAGATGGGACCATATACCGTAGATGGTTGTACGTGAGCAATATATTTAAACAATAGCCAAGTCAAAGAGGATGTTACATCACATTTGCGGTTCTTGGTGCTCCACGGATCAGAAGGTTGGCGGTTAGATGCCCGACTCTTCCCTGTGCATGTCAAAGTGTCCCACATTGCTCCTGATGCCATCGGTGTGTGAGTGTGTGAATGGGATTAGA